ATTATTATTATTATTATTATTATTATTATTATTATTATAATCATCATTAGTATCATTACTATGACATGTCTGTTATTAATGGAAATTTGTAGTCTGGTAAGAAAAACACAAGTTACAAGGATAAAACTTGATTTACCTAACCCTAACCAGCTTTATCATCCACTCAGGTATCCAATGTCAACAATTTCACTCAGGTGTTAATCGAAGAAGGCCTCACAAATCATTTGCTTTGACTTTTTAACTTTCTCAAATTGCAACACATGCAAAAACCAAAATGTGGCAACCATTTATAAAACACGGCCTACTCACTTTTGTTTCCCCTTGTTCAGTTGTATTTCCCAGACTGAAGCAACTAATCTAAGTCACAACAAGTAGAAAGGGTACGAACACACTCTAGAAAACACTGATAAAGTAAAACTAGGAACAAAGAGCCACACATTTGCAATCCAGTACAACAAGGGGAGTTTTTCTGGGAAGCTGTGGCTGTTAATTTGTTTTTTTTTATAAGCGTTCCAGCAATTTGAACACCATGAAGTTTCATTAATTCTCTGTGCCAGATTAAATGATATTGTAAGACAGATGTGCAGTGGTAAAAATAGATAAGAAATGGAATTTTACTCTTTGACTTGGTTGAATCAGCTATTTAAGTCGATTCTGAGCACATCAGAAGATGGTCCACCGCTATCTGTCACAAAGTCCCCTTAGTGTAGATTCCTGTCTGTCCCTGCTATCTGTGCCCTTCTCTTTTTCCTCCTCTCCCCCTGTCCCTCTTCCCGCTCTCCCATCTTGCAGTTCATATTTCAGTTTGCTCCCAGGAGCTCGCAGGTCTGTGCCAGACGGAAATTCGCTGAGGCTGCAGAAGCCCCCTTGGAGGCCACATGGAGGTGGGACAGGAGGGGAACAATAAAGCCCAGTCCTCCCTCACTATCCCTCCCCCGTGTTTGCTCCCATGTACTTTTTCTAACTTTTTCCCCCCCTCATACTCTTGTTTCCTCTCCCCCTCGCTCCTGTCTCTCTGTCTCCTCTGTATCCAGCCTGCCAGGCTACACAGGTCCTCAGGGTGACTTTCTTTTGGCTGGGGTCCCTCAACACAGAACCCTCTCCTCACTTTCTTCACCCACCCCTTCTCTCCAACTCCTTTTTCTCCAGCTTCTGCCCCCTTCCTTTCCCCTCCGCTCTCCTCTTTCCTTCTTCAGAGCTCTCCCAAGGGGGAAGACGGTGAGGCCATCCAGTCCCGAGCTGTCCATCAGCCCGGGTGTTTACTTGCAGCGTGACAGGCCGACACATCTGGAGCACATATTCACTAGTGTTCACACTCCTCCGTCTCACTCTTTTCTGGTCCTATATATGCGTATGCTGCCACCAGATGCATTCCTTCGGCTCATTTCAGGCCCTTTGTCGTTGTTATGACAATCCAACTTCGGACTAACACACACTCACTGGAGGAACACAACTACCCACAAGACACGCACATGCAAAGATTTGTTTTCATCCATTTTTCCTTTTTCATTCACCCCTCAAGTGGTTTTTCAGTTGCATGACAGAAATTGGAGTTAAATAATGGTAGGGGAGGGCTGCTAGTGGTGGTGGTGGGGGTAGAGATGGGGATGGGGCAAAAGTCAGACTTCTCCATTCTGCCTCCCTCTCGCCCTCCTTTCTCCTCAATCCGTATCTTTATCTCTTTGCCTTCTTTCTTTTCTGTCTTTTCACCGAGTGTAAACTAATTACAGCAGCACCTCCGCTCCTTTTTGGAAACCCATGACTACTGGTCTAATGAAGTGTCACCTCTTCTTCCCTTCATGTCTTTCTCCCCCCATTCCAACTCATCCTCCCACCCTGCATCTCACCCATCCGCCCACCCTGTCTGTTTTCTCAACATTCCTGTGCTGGTGTGTGACTGTGATGGCTTGTCATCTCGTAGGAATGTCCTGCTCTCCCACCTCGTCCCCCCGATTTGGCGTGAAGCATTTGCTCCTGGTTTCCGACTGCACATGTACACACACACCCACCCACACACACACACGCAGGCACACACTTGAAATGTTGGCTTAAAAAAGAGAAGAAAAAAAAAAGTGTTCATGCAGATGGTGTCCATTGGGCTGCATACCTACTCTTGGCTTATGGCCACAACAAGCACAACCATTCTCAGATAGTCCCCAGCTTGTTTTTCAACTGTAGAAAGTGTGCACAAAGTTATTTTATCTTGTGTTGCCTGTGGTAAAAAAAGGGCCACTTAGTCTCTATGGTAAACCTGAGGAATTCTCTTGATTATGCTATCAAATATGATCTGCGCAGTCTTTCAAAAACTCTTTCATGCAGTTTCATATACTCTAGAAACTAAATATCCTCCTGTTAAAAATACAAGCTGCAAAAAAAGTAGATTGTGAAAAATTAATAGTGAGCGGGATTATTATCTAAGTGTAACATATGTTAAAAGAATCTGAACAAGGCTCAAATTCGGCATTTATCCCCTGTACTAGCAAATGGAAGAGGTTTTATAATTTGAAACACATGTGACATTAGTTTAGAGAGGGACACATAATGACTTTCCCCCAGTCTGGGCATGCCTTGTATTCTACATGTGGTGAGGACTTATCAGAGGCTTAATAGCACATAGAAACATACCACAGTCAATGGCCCAAAAGTGTAGGTTAAAAGAGAAGACAATGAGGAAGAATTTTTTTTGGGGGTGTATTTCCATTCAGATGTGTATATGTAGGCCTATGTGTGTGTGTGTGTGTGTGTGTATATGTATGTGTGTGTGTGTGTGTGTGCAGATATGCGACAGGGTCTCATCACTGGCATCATCCTCTGGAATCAGTCTTGCTCCTTCTAGATCCGGTCGGCGTGTGTCAATGTGCGATTATTTGTGTGAGAGGTTATTTGTCTGCGTGTGTGAGGGAGTTCGTGTCTGTGTGTACAAAAGAATGTGTAGGAGATATCACCAGACCCTCATGTTTATTCAGCTCAACGCCTGGATGACCAGGACTTATCCGCTGTCCTGATTACCCTGCCTGGCCTGCCACCATTAATCCTTCAGAGGGCCCCGGCCCTTTAAACAGCCCTGTCTTATGCACATGCTGAAACACACACACTTTCCCTCTATACAAATTCAAATTATATAAATGTATATATGCATATCACCTCAGTCGCAAATTTATTTGCCTTTAGTCTGTTTAAGTAACTTTTTCTGTTTAACAATCTGTTTGAAAACAGGAAAATTATCTTGTTTAATTTCTGCTGCAGTATTTCTTTATCAGCTCCGATAATTTTTGGTAAACACTTGTAAGATTTCATAATTTGTTAAGTAAAAACTGTTGCATTTTAGCTCTTTCCACAAAAGGGTGTATTTTAAAAGGCACGTCGCTTTCATTGTAAAGGTTGCTGGGCCTGGAAGTACGAGCATGTGTCTGCCATTTTGCATGTATGTGAGTATGCATGTGTATTCAGTCATAGTTACAGTGCCAAGAAATAATATTGACCATGGCTCCATTCCCTATTCTGGTTTTGCCCATAATAAATGATGCAGATTAGAAAAGTAGAAACACATTGGGCTGATAAGTAGCCTTTGGAGCCTTTGTTTGCCATGCCGTTGAGAAAGGAGGGAGCAATTCTTTGGTAGTACGGTCAATCATGGGCAAAGATGCTGTGTGTGTCTGTGTGTTTTTACTGTGGTTTGAAAATTTGGAGCAAGTCTCATGTAAGGGTGTTTGGAATGTGAAGGAATGACCGTGATGTGTATTGCCAAGTCCTGTTTGAATATATGCACAGCAGGGAACCTTCTCATTATAAACAGAAGCTCACACTCCCACATGTGCATGTGTCCACATAAAAATGCCCACACCCACACAACATGCAGCAGAGGATGGGGACAAAACACTGGATCCAGTACAGTTGGAGCAAGAGCGTGATCAGATCTGATTTTGCAACCAAGAAAAACAAACCTAAAGTTGAAATGTGTGCGTCAGGAGGATACTTGTTTTATCATGACTCTCCCTACTATTTCAAATGATCTCTGTGAGTTGAATCGGCTGTTGACACTGTTGCCTTCCTCTTCCAGTGTTTGTATCTCTCTACTTATCATTCGTTTCTTTTTCTCTTTATGTTACTTTGGGAAGGGCCTTTTTAGCACCTGAGCAGACACATGAGTGCTCGTACGTACACACACACACACACACATACACACACACACACATGCGCGCGCACACGCACACACACATGCGCGCACACGCACACACACACACACACACACACACGCGCACATGAACATGCACATGCGCGCACACACACACAAATATACTCAGTTGTCTCCTCTGACTCCTTACCCCTCTGACATGGCTGTTTCTCTCTCCTCCTGTCCCTGTCTTCTCCTTTTTCCCATAACAAATAACAGTGGAGAATTCCCCTCGCCTCTCTCCTGGGGAATTTTCATTACCGCCCAGTCCCCCTGCCCAGAAGGACTATCCGCCTTGAACTGTTCAACAGCTGTGGTGTGGACATTCTCTTCCAAAACAGGCCCACTGTTCACAAACACCCTGTGGGCTCAAGATGGGGACTCTGTGTCAACCTCCACAGCTCAGGAGACCAAGTTTCTTTAACATGTGGCCCACCCCAGGGTCCCTTCTCCTGTCGAGAGAAAGAGGCCCGAAACTGGGCCTTTAACTCCATACATGCACCTTTCTGAGTGAAAGTTGTTGCCATGTAGATGTCACTGCTGATTTCTACGATAGATAGATAGATAGATAGATAGATAGATAGATAGATAGATAGATAGATAGATAGATAGATAGATAGATAGATAGATAGATAGATAGATAGATA